TGTTACATTTCCACCTTCTAGGGAGAGAGGGAGGTGAAATAAAAAAGAAAGAAAAATCCCATTATCTTTATCTGTCCTTCCCATCAGGTGCAGTGGAAAATGCAAACTGGGGAGACAGCTGCTGTGAACTCTTTATATTTCACTCAGAAGATAGTGTATCTTTTTATTGCCTACAGGAATTACTTATTTGAAAAAATATATCCTTTCAGCTCGACTTGAGCCACAAGACAGGGACAGGGCGGTGGAGTCCTGAGGGCTATTGGTAGAGCATTTGCATTAAACCAGAGGAATCTCTGGAGGTCATAGGCAGGAGTAGAGGGGAGGAGAAATAGGGAGCAGAGGAGAGATGTGTGATGTGTGTGTGTAAAGTAAAGTGTGTGTTCTCTCCACCTCCCTGCTGTGTGACCCAGGCCTGGGCACTGGGCCTCTCTGAGCTGGAGATTCTCCATCTGTGCAGGGGGCAGAATTGCACCAGTTATTTCCTCTAGGGGTCAAAGGGAGGAGATAAAGAGTCCCTAGACTCAGAGAGAAAAATGCCCTGCCTCTTCCACTATGCTAAGAAACGAGGCACTTCTCCCAGTCATGTCAGTGCCCCCATGCTTGGTGCAGAGCTTTACATGAAGTAGGCTTGTGTGATAGAGTTTGTTGAAGACTTTAGCGATGCAGGCAGGGACCTACCCTGCCGCATGCCTGTGGGTGGAAAGGAACACGCCTGTGGGTACCTGGTGAAGATGGCCTCATGCACAACTGAGCAGGTGCTACACTGAGAACCCTGCCATAGTCCTGACACCTCTCCTGCCACCGTTTTCCTTCTGCAGATTCCAGAAGACGGCAGTGGAAGTGACCATGTGTCCTTCACTTTAGTTCTTGTGATGGTTAATTAGATGTGTCAGTTTGTCTGGGCCACATTATTCTAGGTGGTTCTGCGAGGGTGTCTTTACATGAGATTCACATTTAAATCAGGGTGGATTTTGAGGAAAGCAGACTCTCCACAATGTGGGTGGGCCCTATCCCATCAACTGAAGCCCTGTATAAAACGAAGGACAGACCTCTCCCAGGAAAGTGGACATTCTGCTAGCAAACGGCCTCCAGACCTGGGCTGCAACATCAGCTCCTCTCTGATCTCCAGCCTCTCAGCCTACTCCGCAGGTTTTGGACCTCCCAGCCTCCATAATCATGGTCAGTTCTTTAAAACAAATCTCTCTATATATACGTGTGTGTGTGTGTGTGTATGTGTGTAACAACCCATTAGTTCTATTTCTCTGAAAAACATTTGCTAATACAATTCCCACACAGCTTCTTTAATGCCTGGACAAGTCTGGTGAGGAGGTGGAGAGAGAGGATGGGGAGAACTCTAAAGAGCTCTGAGGAACAAGGCGCCGAAGTGTTGGCAGGGCTTAGTTGGGCCAGCACCAGGTGCAGAGCCTGGTGAGGGAAGGGACGGCAACAGTGGACAGGGGTAGTCCAACAGGTCTGCTTCCTTCTGAGCTGGTCTGGGACAGTTGTCCTGCCTTGCGAAGGTCTAGGCATCAGGAAGGGGGCACACAATTTTTGCCCAATGCCCTCAGCAGGGAAGAAGGGTGGGAGGAGGCCTGGGGTGGGGGCAGAGTGAGTGCTCGACTTTCTTTGTCCAGCACGTGTGGCTGACTGAGTCCTCTCTGTGCCCATGTGCTATGGTCCCCTTCGGCATAGATTAATGTTTTATAATAATCACACCTTACATCTGTAAATTGCTCTCAGGCTTTCAAAGCACTTTCACCTACATGATAGGAACAACTTCTCTTGCTTCTCTCTCCTCTTGGGGGCCGAGAGTCAAGCAGTGTGAAAAAAGCATGTATGTCTCTGAGGAGGCCCCACTTCCTTATTATGCAATCTGACTTTGGTAAAAAGAAGCCCAGCTTTGGGGGCAGCTGCAAACTCTGGCTTTAGTGAGAAAAAAAGGAAATTTCTCAGAAGAGTATCCATCACAGTGGAGCCGGGAGACCTTTCTCAGCATGCAGCCTTTCCCCAGTGGGATGGGGCCTGAGGCTTAGACTGGCTGAGGGGTCCCTTCTTTGCTTCTTCTCTGCTGTGTGGCCTTATTCTACTAGGGGTGGCCGTGGCAGCACATGTGACAGCACAGAAACCTCCTGTTGTCTTGGGCATCTGAAGTGTGAGCAGTCAAGGAAGCAGGTGGCTTTTCCCTACTGGTGCAGCTTCTAGCTTGGGAGAATGGCCAACCTTGGGCAGCCCTGGTTGCTGAGCAACTCTTGGGCTTCCTTCACTCATGGTGGATAGCAGGAAGCAACTGTGGTTGCCTTGGCAGTGGATGCCTCCACTCCAGTTGGTTTACGGCTATGGCAGCAGGTGGCTTTGAGTCTTCTTATTGAAGATTTGCTTTGCTGGTCTCAGGCCTGTAATTTCAGTGCTTAGGGAAGCTGAAGCAGGGGGATCATTTGAGGCCAGGCATTTGAGATCAGCGTAGGCAACAGAACAAGACCCCCATCTCTACAAAAGAATTTAAAAACTAGCTGGGTGTGGTGGCACACGCCTATAGTCTCAGCTGCTTGGGAAGCTGAGGTGGGAGGATGGTTTCAACTGAGGAATTCAAGGCTGAAGTTAGCTATGATTGTACCACTGCACTTGTGCCTGGGTTGGGTGACAGAACGAGATCCTGTCTCTTAAAAGAAAAGAAAAAGACTTGTTTTGCTGGGCTTGCATCCCCAGGCCTTTGAAAGGAGCAGTTTCTAAAGCCAACGAGCATCCTCTTTCCTTCCCCAGCTCCGGGCATGAAGTTCCAGGTGGGAACAACTGATGGTGAGCAGCAGCTCCCAGAGGTAAAATGGCCTCTCTCCAGGATACCCAGCAGGTGTGGAGGGCCGGCCCTGGTGTAGCTTCCAGAGGATGCCTCCCCTTGGTTTGGGTTTGAGCTGATGCTGAAGAACAACAGGTCCCCCCTTTCTGAGCTCCTTTAAGTATTTTAGCCACCTCAGGACCTGCTGGCGTTTACCACCCACCTGCCCTTCTCTAAAAAGGCAGAGAAGGAGTTCCAGGTGGAGCCTTGATTGTTCAGGTGGAGACTCACAGAGCCCATGCTCCTTACTTCCCAGGGATGTCCCCCAGTTCTCCATACACCCACACTCAGGAGCCTCTTCCGTGCTCTCAAACAACCTGTGTGAAGTCACCTTCCAGTGTGAGCATGTCCCCCTCAGCCCTCCCCTCAGCCCAATTCAGGCAGGGCTCTCCTCCCACCCATTTTTCAGGTAAGGACCCTGAGAAGCTGAGGTGTGGCCCTGCTATTGGGTCCCACAGGAAAAAAAAAAAAAAGCAAACAAAGCAACAGTGGGTACTGGCTGGTTACCCTACTAAATTTAGCTCTCTCTGGAAAATCCGCTAGGAAGCACCCTGGTCAGCTGTTTGGAGGTGGGACTTCCACGCAGGGTCTTCCCTCCAGGAACCACCCTTCTCCACGGGTTCATAACAGGCTCCTTCACCTCATGCGTCTGTGGCGTCTTCCTGACAGCAGAAGCCAATGACATGCACGCAGATCTGTGTGCCCACTCCGGCTCTAGGGACCATGCTCCAGACATACACGTGGATATCCTCCCATCTCACACTGGCTTCCTTCATGTCCCAGAAACAAGATACTCAGAGACACCCCCCACTGTGGAGAAGAACGTGGGCTCCCTCAATCCCCCACGCTCCCTCGGTGTCCGAGTGCTGACCACAGGGCCAAGCACATCCAGCCCAGGACCAAGCAAGAAGAGATGGGGTTAAATGAAGGAGTGAGAATCTAGGGGAGTCAGCAGAACTTCCAGATGCTGAGCG